TGGTGACTACATTCGACAAACGACGGATCCTAAGGCCACTCTCGAAAAAAGGTCGGCAAACGAAATCTCACTTCACCCAGTGGACTTGTCTCCCTCTCCGGGAGCCTTTCCCATGCCCCCAAAAATAATGATTCATGATCAGATCTAACTCGTGGATAGTATATTGGGGTGGATCGAGGAGCATAAGTAGATGAAGTGAAAGAGCATTGAGGGTGCTCTTGATCAGCGCGAGCCGACCCCCAAAAGAATTATGTCTATGCGACTAGCTGGAGATCCAGTCAATCATCCTCTGTCTGACGTTTGTAAAGAACGTGCTCGTGATGGCCTTATACAGAGGGGCGCCGAGGTAAGTGCTGGGAGGTCGCCACGCACGAAGCCAGTGCACTTGTAGACCCACTACGCTGACCGATCCGAAATGGGAGAGGAGAGGATGAAGGTGCTCTTTTGCACGCTAACGAGCTAATCGGTGACCGAGCCATAATGCTTCAAAAGGTGCATAAGCTCGACCAGTCCATCATATATGCACGAGTGAGGATAATGTTGTCATTCGCATAAGCGAAATGTGAGAAAGGATGACCATAGCCACTTGTGATGTAGGTCATCCTCGAGTTATCACGGATGAAGGTGTCAAGGTAGCAAGAAAGGTAGTCTGCCGCCAGAACAAAAAGAGAAAGGGAGGGGATCCCCTTGTCGGAGGCCCCGAGAAGAAGAGAAAGTTTCGGTGAGGCTGCCATTAACCATAACCGCGAACGTGCGGTGCTCCACACACGCCTCCACAAAATTGACTCACCGAAAGGGGATGTGATATAGCAGGAAAGAGGTGGGGAGGTGATAATATTGATTTTTTCACGAATGACTTCCTCCATGTACAATTCGACCACACACTTATAGGGAAAGGCTAACATATGAGAAGTGTAGTGCCAGACAAAGCAGACGGCTTGGCGGTTGTAGAACATTTTTTTAATTTATTCCTGGTAATTTATTTCCTCTCAATCCATTAAATTGTTAGTGAAAAAATATGTATATAAATGTAAATCACGTGTATGTGCATAATTAATTATAGTGGCTAAATTTTTTATCATCATGAACTATTCATAATAAGAACAATATAAGGGACTTCGTCATTTACTTTGAGGGTTGGAGTTGCTCTATCTGGTGAACAATTAGAGTTTGATCAAGCAATTTCTTACCGAGAGTCAGCCTTTGATTATCAAATTCGCATAGATGGATTTGACATAGCACACCCGATGATGAATGAGTAACTAAATTACATTCTGGATGAGTAAGAAGGTTGTCTCTATCATGATCAAACAGGGAAGACACGAGATAGGTTTCAATGGAGGGCTTGATCGCAGCCTCGAGGTCAGGGAAAGAGTGGGGGCAGATCGGGGTCCTTGGACTCGTCGTCGAGTTTCCCAGCAGAGAAAGGGGGGAGGGAGGGTGATGAAACTGTTGTTTGTCATTTTTTGTTTTTTTTTTTTACACTTTGCTTACCTAACTTTGATTGTTTGTACACTTTGCCATTTTCGGTCACCGTCAGCCTCATAAACCAACACGTGGCTTTTGTGCCTTATTGACACGTGTTGCCGGCGGTGACCAAAAATGACAAAGTGTACTTAAAATCAAAGTTAGGTAGGCAATGTGTAAAAAGAAAAAGTTTTTTTCGGAAAGAAAATTTAAATTTCTTGATATTTTTTTTCTTTCAAAATGATAGAGTTCATTATATAACTCAACCGAGAACAAAGTTTCAATACAAAGGGGAAGATCCCAATCTAATCCTAAAAATCAAACTGAGAGGCACATCTACAGGATGACCTAGAGCCTCAAAACAACAAGAATCACAAAAACAGAGAAAGACAATGCCTAAGAAGATCCTAACCACTGCCATAAGGCCTAGCAGAAATCTCCTAAAGCTAATGAAAACTAAAACACACAACAACTGAACAAGAAGCATTAACAATACATTAACAAATGGAACTAAATTCATGCCATGCATTCAGTCATAAGCAATTGTACTTCGCTGTATCTAGAGTCACGGGTCGAAGGGGTTTGAAGATAATGATTTGTGGTGATTAGGATTTTGACGATAGTAAAACGACGAATATTGTATAGAAAGGCTATGTTTGATAGACAAATATGCTAGCTTATAGCTTATTTGGTTAACTTATAAGCTCTATGTATTTAAATAAGCTCCATTTGGTAGAACGAGCTTTCTTAAAAAGCTTGAGCTTATTTGATAAGCTTACTTTGGCAGTTTTTCAAATAAGCTCGTTGAAATTTTAATTTCAGCTAGTTTATCAGCTAATTTTACCAAACAATTTTATCATATAAGCTAGCTTTTCAGCTTATAAGTCATAAATTATAAGCTATAAGCTTGAAAATTAATGATAAGCTATAAGCTAGCTTATCATCTAGTTTTACAAATATTTAATAATATTTATATTTACTTACTTAAATTTTAATTTTATAATTGTTTAAGTTATTTTTTTTCCTATTATTATCTCGTTTGGTACGACAAACTTTTCTAAAAAGCTCGAGCTTATCTCAGTAAGCTACTTTAGATAGCTTTTCAAATAAGCGAGTTGAATTTTTTTATTTCCGCTAGCTTATCAGTTAATCTTACCAAACACACACACACACACACACACACACACACACACACACACACACACACACACACACATATATATATATATATAGCCTTACCAAAAATAGTAATAAGAAAAAATCAACTAGTATTTATTAAAAAACTCGAATTGCATAGAAATTGGTAAATTTAGGTAAAATTGGCATGACAATTTTGTAAAAGTCAAAATCTCTCATTTTTTATTAAAAAAAATATGTTTATCATAAAATCGGGAATTTCGAAATAGGCAAAATACTATAACATGTATCTTCACCTATTTGCAACAAATCATGTTCATTAAAAAAATCCGATTGCATAGAAATTGAGCCCAATTTTCAAATTGAAAAATAAAATTTACAAATTCCTTATCAATTTGCTACTACTTTCTTTAGTTCAAACTCTTTTAAAGCATAAAACCGAGTCAGATAACATAAATCTAAAATTCAAAATGTAATCGGATTGGAAGATCCCAAAAGTTTGGTTTTGTTTAATCATCTCGAATACAAACTTGAAATTGATTGCATATACTTGCACAATTTTTCCTTCCTTAAATTAAGTAATTTACAATTTTAAAATAATAAGTCTATAGATTATCAAGAAAGACGTTTTACAATCTCCTTTATTTTTTGCTGCAATCTTCATAAAAGCAGCATAAATCATATATTATATATCTTGCTAATAAATTTAATTGATTTATTTAAGCATATCTAGAATCATAATAAATTTTGAGGCGATAGACGATATACCAAAAGATCAAACAAATAATATTATGTACAATGATGTGTTTAATAATATATAAGTTACATTTTGTTTTATTTCAATACATGTGTTTTACATTTTTCCAATCATCTAATCATCTAAATCTAAATGTTTATCTTAATAAAACTAGCATGTGCATCGCACGAGAATTGTACTAGTTTATCATTTTTTTTTTCAGAACGATAGAAATTTTATAAAGACGAAAAACACGTAATTACAACTAGAATACAACTAGAATAGCCAAGCAGCCACACAGTTGAATCCATGAGGCCTACACAAAGGTAGCCTAGAAACAACTACGCTAACCCACCCATAGTAAAACAAACTGTACAGCTCCCAACAGGAAAATAACACACTCCCAACAAGAGAAAAACAACACAACTAAAAATACCAGACAGCTCCCAAAGGAGAGAACAAACAACCCAAAACACAACAACAAAAACAAACAACACTTCACGCACACACAAAACAAACGAAACTAAAAGAAACCACACCAGAAACCTTCCCTAGAAGGCAAGTCAAGCCCAACACAAGGCACCAACAGATTCCAGGTCGACCACCCAACAGAGTTGCCCGAAATCTAAGAGCCGGCTCCCAAAACTGCCCAAAGCCTAGCTGAAATTGAAATCAAGACACCCGACCCACTCCAGTAGACGAAACCTGACCCATCACCGGAAGAGCAGCAACCCTCAACCCCACACACCACCGCTGCCCCGGACTCGGCCAACACCATTAGCCAAGGTCCGACAGCGCCGGCCTCCCGTCCACCCACACCAAGATGCACAGGAACAGGGGTAAGAAACAACCACACCTCAGCCCCACCCGACCCGCGACGGAAAACGGGATCGGATAGGTCCACATCCAAGCCCTGACCCCACACCACCATCCTGCCCCAACTCGAGACCAGAAAGGACGACAACCCGCTACCTCGATCGGCTACCTGCATCTGGCAAAACCCGACTCTCGAGTAGGCGACTTCTTCCGTCGGCGTAAGATGAGAGGGGCCGTACGAAATTAGGGCTAAGTATGTGCGGCGACAGGCCATTCACCGGCAAAGGGCCTAGCTGTCTTCCGTGTAAAACACACGAGATCTTGAAGGCGAAAGGTTAGTGCTAGATTGGGGCGATTTGGGTGGTTTTTTAGAAAAGAATTTTGGCAGAGTTCTCCGCACTAGTTTATCATATAAGCTAGCTTTTCAGCTGTAAGTCATAAAATATAATCTATAAGCTAGCTTATCATCTATTAGCGAGTTTATCTACTAATTTTACCAAACATATCGTTTTTCTTGCACGGGTTAAAACTAGTACAAACAAAATATAAATATGACCATTTAATAGAGTACAAAGTAGAAGTATGGTGAATTAGCTATAGTTTCGCTGCTGAGTAAAAAAATTGTGATTAAGGAAAGAAGATTATTTTGGCATGATTGGTTTGGTTGCCTTCCTCTCCGTGTTTAGTTTTTACTGCAAGTTTTCTCATATGCCTAACTAAGAGCAGATCGGATCTAGGCAGGCAAAACCCCGTCTCTCTCTCTCTAGATATACTCAGAATCGGGTTTACGCACAAATTAACGGTTAAATAAATGCAGCTGTGAAGAAATTCCCAAGCGGTTTTGATGGGCAAATACTCGGTCATCATATATATTACAATCGCCATCGTCCTTCTCCTCCTCGTCTCCCGCTCCTCCAACAACCACCGCCACCGCCACCGCCGCCTTAAAATCCGCTCCAACTTCTCATTCACCCCACCGGTCGACCCTCACCGCATCCACGACCGCGCCGCCGCCTTCGACCCCCTCGTCGCCGAGATCGAGCGCAAGCGCGAGGACCGGGAATGGGAGCAACACTACTTCCAGTCCCGCCACCCCGAGTCGACTCATTTGGATTCGGCTCCCGGGCACGAGTCTCCACCCGAATGGGAGGATTTTATGGACGCCGAGGACTACCTGAACGACGAGGAGAAGTTCAACGTCACTGACAGACTGGTGCTTTTGTTCCCCAAGATTGATGTTGACCCGGCCGATGGGTATCTGACCCAGTCCGAGTTGACTCAGTGGAACCTGCAGCAGAGTAAAAGGGAGGTTATGCATAGGACACAGAGGGAGATGGAGGTTCATGATAAGAACAAGGATGGGTTTATCTCTTTTGCGGAGTATGACCCTCCAAGCTGGGCTAAGAATTCTGGTGACTATTCAGCGATCAACTATTTTTTTTTTTTGGTTTTATTTTTAAATCGGAGTATATTTTTGTGAATTTGGAATCAACGTGCTTGGGGTTCTATTAAGTATTTATGGTTCATAATGACAAGGTGTTGAACTATTGTTTGGTATTTCTAATCCTATAGTTCTTTTAGCCTTGATTTAGTCTTGTTTTTGGGATATTGGTGCTGTTTTTCACGATCATGGGCTTAAAATTTGGGCCGACGTTCTCCTGGAAATTCCTTCAAATAAACACAATCATTTTTATTTTTTTTACCCTTATCAAGCAGAAAATTGAAGTTTTTAAATACCTTAGTTGCCAATGCTCGAGTTGGATCGTTTGGATAATATGTTAGAGGCCTTTCCTTGCATGTTTGAGTATTTGAAGTTTGATAACTAGTAGAAAGCTATCAATAAGCATGTTTCGATGAAATATTGTATCTTGTAAGGAAGTGTTCATTTCAGAATCACCATTATTGACACGTAATGCAATACACAATTCTTAATGTTTTTTTCTCCAGATAGTGAATCATTTGGATATGATATGGGCTGGTGGAAAGAAGAGCATTTTAATGCATCCGATGCAGATGGAGATGGTTTTTTGAATATTACAGAGTTCAACGAGTAAGACCCTGAGACCAAGCATGCTTCTTTGCATATAGTGTTCTCTTACCATTTACTAATCTAGTATTTATTTATTTATTTTTTTTTCTTATTATAGTTTTCTGCATCCAGCTGATACCAACAGCCCCAAGTTGCTTCACTGGTTGTGCAAGGAAGAGATAAGGTGTTGTACATATATCATATTTTTATTTGCTGCATGTAAATTAAGGACTTCGCAACTACAATAGCTTCCTGGGAGCATAATCCTTTGAAGAAAATCAACAAGTACTTTGCAAGATTATGGTTATTTCATCAGCTCTGTCTGACAGTTAGCCTCCAATTGCTTGCTAAGTACCATGGACCTAGAGCAATCCTTATTCAACCAAGATTCTTATTAAGATGTTTGATTCAAAGAATCTGAACACTGAGCTTTAATTCTATGGTTAACTGAGTCATTTTGAAGACCGGTTGTTGCTACAGCTTTCACGGTGTTGTTGTGGTCATCACTGAACTATATGATGAATGTTATGTTTTTTCTCTTTTGTCCCACATCGGAAGTGGGATGAGAGAGGAGAGGAGTTTTCCCCTATATAAGAAAGTGCTACTTCTTATGTAAAATCATCCCACAGAGTTATTGTGTTAACAGTTAATCTCTGGTTTAAAATCCCTTAGGGTGAGAGTTAAGGTTAATGGATAGAAAATTCTGTGGGGTAATTTTGGGTATAAGTGAGTGTAGAAAAATTGTGTAATTTTTACATAGTGGATTTTCTACGGCCTTGTTGCCCTGGTGGTTTTTCCCTCTTCGTTAACGGAGGATTTTCCACGTTAAACTTTGTGTTCTCCAGTTTTATTATTTCCAGCGGATCTTGGGCGGAATTTTGGTGTGGTCGGAATTTCCAACAAGTGGTATCAAGAGCGAGGTTAGCCTAGTTGGTATTCTGAGTATGCTCTGTGGTTGCAGTTTTGTCTGATCTTCCACATCAGAAAAGATACCAAAGAGGTCTGTTCGTGCGGTGGAGCTAGTGACGGGTGGAGCTTGTGTGCAGAGGAGTTTTTTGGGCAGTGGGGAATAATTACTGTGTAAGTAGGTTTTGTCTAGGAGACTGGTTTTTTAAGTGGGACCGTTGTGACCCCACCAGCCTTTCCTAGGAGCTTACTTAGAAGGGTAATTCTTTATGGGCAGGTCGCTACCCTCCCTGAGAATTTATCTGATCAGTACTATTCAAGGTTGCTGCTCGGTTTTTCTGCAAAGTTAGTGTTCACTAATTTACGAAGATGTCTGGAAATAAGATATCGAATCTGGCGAGATTTGATGTGGAGAAATTCGACGGAAAAATCAACTTTGGCTTGTGGCAAGTGCAAGTGAAGGACGTGCTGATTCAGTCGGGGTTACACAAAGCTTTGAAAGGCTCGGAAATTCCCAAAGGCAGTGCTACCAGCAGCACTGAAGAAAAAGCTGGTGTGAGCAAATCTGGAATGAGCGATGAAGATTGGGAGGAACTGGATTTGAGAGCGGCAAGCGCGATACGACTGTGTCTGGCCAAGAATGTTCTTGCTAATGTGCATGGAATTTCGACGGCAAAAGCATTATGGGACAAGCTTGAGGAGTTGTATCAGGCTAAAGGCGTCTCAAATCGGGTGTATCTGAAGGAGCAGTTTCACACACTGCGAATGACTGAAGGTCAAAGCATCTCAGACCACTTAAGCATTCTCAATGGGATCGTCTCGGAGCTGGAATCCATTGGAGTGAAGATTGATGATGAGAATCAGGCGTTGAGACTCATCTGGTCTCTTCCAACTTCTTATGAACACATGAAGCCGATCTTGATTCATGGGAAGAAGAAAATTGTATTTTCTGAAGTCACTGGTAAACTTCTTGCGGAAGAGAGAAGGCTAGATGGTGGACGAAACAATTCACCGGAAGGTCAAGTCATGCTCGTCGGTGACGGAAAGAAGAGGAACTCCAGGAAGAAGCAAGTTGTGATTTGCTGGACATGTGGACAATCTGGGCACGTGAAAAGAAATTGTTCGAAATAAGGAGCAGGTTCGAAAAAAAGCTCCAAGTCGGTAAGTGGAGATACCCAAGAAGCTAATTTTGTCTCTCTCTCCATGGATGAATTTTGCTAAGAGAGAAAGAGGAGTCCTTATGACATGTCGCTAAGTGTGATGAAAGAGGACGTGTTACAATTAGCGAGTCCACAGTTTACACATGGGCATTGGTTTGGCGGTGATGCAAGGTGTGTGGTGAAAAAAAGCGTGTCGAGGGCTGATGAACTTTCAGGAAAGCCAAACGTGGAAGTTGCACCATAGATTTCAGCAAAGTTATTTCGACATGGGCCGAAGAAATGCTTGGATGCGAGTCCGAGTGGATATGCTTTATGGTGGAGCATGATAGCGAAAGCTATGAAAAATTTCATCAAAGTGAATAGTGGCTGTCAAATGGGTCAAAATCGCAAGGTGGAGTTTGTTATGTTTTTGCTCTTTTGTCCCACATCGGAAGTGGGATGAGAGAGGAGAGGAGTTTTCCCCTATATAAGAAAGTGCTACTTCTTATGTAAAATCATCCCACAGAGTTATTGTGTTAACAGTTAATCTCTGGTTTAAAATCCCTTAGGGTGAGAGTTAAGGTTAACGGATAGAAAATTCTGTGGGGTAATTTTGGGTACAAGTGAGTGTAGAAAAATTGTGTAATTTTTACATAGTGGATTTTCTACGGCCTTGTTGCCCTGGTGGTTTTTCCCTCTTCGTTAACGGAGGTTTTCCACGTTAAACTTTGTGTTCTCCAGTTTTATTATTTCCAGCGGATCTTGGGCGGAGTTTTGGTGTGGTCGGAATTTCCAACAATGAAAACTCTCTACAGCATCCTTCATCCCCTTTCTACCCCAAATAAAAATAAAGTAAAATAAAATAAATATTACGTACTCCTTATGGCAGCACCTATTGCTTTGTACTGAGTTTTGTTCTCTTATACCCAAGGATATTATATTTTATAGTATATTGTTGATAACAAAATCTAGAGCTACATTTTGCGGCCATCCATGTTAATTTATATTTGGTCGAATCATGGTTCCGTCTTTGGAAATTATGCCTTTGCCAAAATAATAATATTCCTCTTGTAACTGTCATGAGATTTTTAGATCTTTTTGCATTAAGATCATTTTTTTTTTAATAATCTTTAATTATCCATTTTGAGACTAGAATACCATAAACTTGAATCATATAGGAGAACTTGTGGGACCAATATCCACATGAATAAGAGGACCAAAATTGCTACCATGGGTACTGACATGATGGAAAAAGATGGCTCCATATAGTTCTAGGGCCGATTTCATAGTTTACATTTATTCTAAACTGTTATCCTCCAAGTAATTTTTTTTTTTTGTTCTTCTTTTTGGCACTTTGACATATCAAATTAGTTATGGATTAAGATCTCTTGTTCATGTCTGAACCTTCCTTGCTAGAAGTTGCTTTGATGTATTGTGGCTGCTCATGGAATGTTCATCATTCATATTATTGTTTTGGAGGAATTGTGATGCATATATACTGATTACTAATACTGATTCAATTTGACTATAAATTGAGTCATTGGTGACAGTTGAAAAAATTAGCCTCAAACGTGATATATCTTGTAAAGATTGAAAGTATATTTTGAAAGAACACATTTTTTGTTTTGTTCTGAAACTTGATGAAGAATATTCGGTATTCAATGCCCCTTTTTCTTTTTCTGTCAACTTCCTGAAGTATTGACTTCATCAAATAGCACTGCTACGTAATTTCAGAAATTGGTGTACTATCGACAAATTAACTTATGCTAACACAGAGGAAGTTGTGCTTTGTCGTCCACTGTCCCACATTGAACTTTTGCCTTTTAACCATTGTTTGCGAATTCTGACAAAATTTGGTTTTGCTTAGAGATGTTTGGGAAATATGTATTTAGAAATGATTCTGGGCAGCAGCAACCTGTTTATAGCCTTTCTTGATTGACGAACTTTTGGTGTCTTGTCAATGTACTGCAAGCTTCCTAAAGATAACTGCAAGATCTGTTGTTTTGTCAGTTTTGATGAGATATTACTTGATCCACAGTGAAATACATGCTTTTGGTATCTACATGAAGAAAGATAATTAGGCCTGTCTAGTTAGTGGTTCCATGTTCATACATCTTGTGTTTGTGGATGTCAAAGTTAGAGCTTTTGTGCCTATTGTGTATAGTGAATAATTTGGATCTTTCAAGAATGGCTCAAGTTGCGGGATGAGATAAAATGAGATCGGTGTCTTCTCCGCCTTCAATCCAGAAATTCATGCTTTGTATTAGTGCGCGGCTTCGTATGTATTTGTTGTTGAAAGTGAGCATAACAGAACTTTGCATCTTGAGTTGAGGTTAAATAATACAGTATTGGATATCTATAGACATCAGTATAATCATTTCAAGAGCTTTTGATTCTTTCCATTTACTTTTTACAGTGTAATGGTCAAAACTGTCAATGCTTCTATATTATACTGAAGTAATGGCTGCTATATTGCTATTTAGATTTTGTAAACATCACTTTAAGTGTAATCTATCCTAATTATCATATGCAATTCAACAAATGTATTTGTTTGCTCTGCAGAGAGAGAGATAGTAACAAAGATGGCAAGGTTGACTTCCATGAGTTTTTCCATGGACTCTTTGACTTGGTCAGAAATTATGATGAAGTGGATCACAACTCTTCACATGGGTTTGATGAGTCAGTCGAGGCCCCTGCTAAAACGTTGTTCAACCAGCTGGATAAGGATGGGGATGGGTAATCAATGAAAATTTTTAGTTGATTTGGGATATCTTATGCGAAGAACATGAAACTTATACAATCAATGTTGCAGATTTTTATCGGATGTGGAATTGTTACCGATTATCGAGAAAATCCATCCGTCTGAGCAGTATTATGCTAAACAGCAGATGGAGTACATCATGGAGCAGGTATTTATTTTCCCTAATAATAAAAGATTGTCTGTCTGGTAAAAAATTATTTAAGTGCAATGATAAGGGATTCATTTTTGATTTTACTGTGTACACATTTTGATGAGATTATATTTAAAAAGGGTGTCTGAGAAAACCAACTAAATATCTTGAAGTTAAGATATGATATGGAAGCCATAATGGTGGGGCAGAACTTGGGAACTTAATTGAAGATATTAATTTTGTTTTTGTTTGTGGTTTGACTTCAAAGATAGTTCAGAGGCCTGTAGTTTGCCTGAATAGATGTTTCACTTCAGTTTCCTACACTTTTACGTTTACCTGATCAATACAATTTTTTGAGGAAACTCAGTTATTACCGCACCATGGTTAACTGTCTCGATTGATATGCAGTGGTTAAGTTAACAGTTACAGCAAAAACTAGAAAGTTGAGTTCCGCATTTTGTAGGCTGATGTCGATAAGGATGGGCGGCTGACCTTGACGGAGATGATCGACAACCCATATGTTTTTTATAGTGCCGTATTTGACGAGGATGAAGAAGATGATTTTGACCATGATGAATTCCGCTAGATTCATCTAATGTTATTAGGTTCGAAAGCTTGTGCTTCGTTCAAAATTATAATATGCTTATTATTATGAAAATAATTTTCACATTTAGTTTTATTCACACACACAACACACTAATTAATAAATAAATAATGAAAAAGGACAGGCATCTAAATTACTAATGCCACACATTTCTTTTTATTTTACGAAGTGCAGGTATTTTTTTTTAAAAAAAAAAACTCACCTTTGAAAGTGGTGTTCGTAGTCATAACTAGGGCTGCAAAAGAGTCAAATCGAGTCGAGCATGATTGATTTTTTTTTTTAGCTGCTTGAGCTTGTTGAGCTCGATTTATGAGGCTCGAGCACGACTCGATAAAAAATTACAATAGCTCGAGCTCAACTCGAGCTGGACTCGAAATCAAATATTTGTGCTCGGATCGAGTTTGGCTAGAAAATTTTTAAGTGGAAAAGTAAAATTATCATGTATCTTGTGCCGCTCGACAATGCAAAATATGGGCTGGAGCTCGACTCGAGTTCGGTCAAACTCAAGTTTGAGTCAAGCTTTGACTCGAGCCGCTCGGTTCGTTTGCAGACCAAGTCATAAGTCATAGCTTAAGATGTATGCATTTGTAACTGTTTAAAAGAATATTGGGTTTTCGCGTAACAGAGTTTGGTGTTAGTAAAGCTCTCACAAATTTTTTTGTTGGTGCCTGCTGTATGATATGTAAGTAGCTGTTTGTCAACAAATGAGATGTGTGTAAAGAATTCATTTGGATTGGTTATGTTTTTCTTTATTGCAGGTTGTGTTGGCTCTCCGTAGCTTTCCAGATGGTGAATACTTTTGGCAGTTTTTGTTGGCGATGAGATTTTACCATTCGTCTTTTGTATTTCCTTTTCTGATTCTGAGTCTGTTATTTTAATTTTCACCACTGTAACTTTAATTTAGCATTTTTTTTTTGGTTGAGTTTAAATTTAATAAAACTCATGACATGGGTGGGTTATACGTCCCTTTCACGAATGCTTCCAATAGAAATAGGTGAGTTGACAACTATAATGTACTTGGCTCCTCTTTAATCCTGTGAGATAGTAGTACTTTGACTCGTGAACGAAAAAAAAAATGTTCACCCTGCTACAAACATGATTTAATTTTTTCACTGTTAATTAATAAGTTATTTTTTTTTTTTTTTTATCGTACAAAGTGTAAATTAAATTATGCGATGAATTATGCGACAGACAACAGTGATGCCAACTGATAATGTGTCAAATATTTGTGCGATGAACGGCAAGTGAAGATAATTGATAAAGTACAAAACAAATTATGAAATAAATTATGTGACTTTAGTGATAAAGTTCAAAACATTTATGCGATAAATTATGTACATACATACTAATATAATTGATAAAGTGCGAAACATATTATGCGATAGACAGATGAAGATAGATAAAGTGCGAAACTATTAGGCGATAAACTATGCGAGTGGATCAGACACAACACACATGCTTAACCGAGCTGCGGGACAACGCGATTAAAAGAGGGGAGGACGAGGTGTCATCAATCAAAACAACTACCTACTCTCAACACACAGAGGAGGGCACATTGGAGAGGCTTTTGGCTCAGATTCGCGACCTACAAGCAAAGGTCGAAGGAAAAAGAGGAACCAATGCAAGGGGGTCACCTTTTTTTTTTGTTTTTTTTTTTTACGGGAGATCATGGATGTCAACCTACCTCAGAAGTTTAGGGAGCTCAATCTAGTGTACGATAGGTCAATGCATCCGTCAAGACACCTTAGGAGTTTTGAGACATGGCTATGCTGCATAGGTACAACGGCTCAATTTCGTATACAACTTTCTTGGCTACGTTACGAAGAACTTCTCAGGATTGGTTTCATCAACTTCCACCAGGATCTATTTATGATTTTGAAACATTTAAATCTAGTTCTATTGACTAGTTCACAAGCACAAAGACACATTAGAAGACCTACTTGAATTTGATAGAAATGCAACAGAAAGAAAATGAGACACTGAGGGACTATGTAGCTCGATACACGAGAGCCTGTGTAGATGTGCCCTCAATATATGAGGAGATCAAAGCAGAGTTTAACGTAGGGATTAAGACCAGGACCGTATAAAAATTCTTTTTCTATGCAACCTAGGAGGACTTTGATGAGGTGTTGGAGAGGTGTGCTAAGTACATGAACATAGAAGAATAAGAAGCCAACTTTTTGCAGTCTTCAAAACCAACTAAAAGGGAGAAGCTGCGAGAGGAGAAAAAAGAGAAAAAACACAGCCCGCATAGTGACAAGAAGGATGGTCAGAGGTATGAGAAGTACACACCGTTGTCAGCGGCATTCTAGCCGTCGATAGGGGATAGACAAGAGAAGAGAATAACTTGACAGCGAGAGCTTGCTCTCTCCCATCAAGCTAGTTAGGCGAGAGTGTTGGAGGTGGTGGAAAGAAATGTACATGAAAGATAGATAGAGAGAGAGAGAGAGAGAGAGAGAGAGAGAGAAAGAGAGAGAGAGAGAGGTAAGAGTCGCAGAAAAGAAAGGAACAAAAGACCTAGGTCGTCCGCTGAGAGAGACGCGCTCCTGCCAAAAAAGAAAGTGCTTTATATGATTTTGGGTGGACGAATAGATGAAAACTCTAATAGAGTAAGAAAAGCTTATGCCAGGAGCCCAAAGTTGGAGGTAAATCAGGTCGTTATGAAAGAACTTGTGATAATTTTTAGACCTACTAACACACAGTGATTCAAAGCCCGCATAACGATGCAATGGCAGTGTCAGTAGAGGTCGCTGGATACGAGGGCCAACGACTCTTCATCGACAAAGGGAGCTTAGTGGATGTCATTTTCTACAATTAATTCAAGCAAATAGAGATAGATGTAAAACTAAAGGCGATGAACGCAACTCTTTATGGATTCAATGTCTTAGATTAACATATTGGCCGATATTGTGTGCAAACTCTGATGGAATAATAATTATTTCCACCACCAGAACATAAGTTAACGACACATTGACCTCTACACAAGTGATAAATCGTAATGACCTAAACTGGTAGGCCATTTCCCACTTATCGGGGGACATTTTCTTACGTACATACCTCTGATGCGGTAATTGTTGTAACACAAATTATTATTTTTACCGAGTACCAAATCGAATGATTCGTTCCCCGGATCGATCTCTCGAGGAATGCGGTTTGCAATCTAGCATTGGTATTGATAACATATAAAAGGAAAATAAATCCTAAACATTCTAATCAAGATAGGGTATGAAGAATTATTAACTAAGAAATAATCTAAAACATAAATCTACCTAGAAATATAAATGAAACAATGATAAAGAGGCTAGGGAATCATGGATAATTAATTCAAGTTTGAAGCGTAAAGCAGGATAATTAATCATTCGGTTCAAGATTGATACTTTTACTGAAACATCTAGCAGTTCGCTCCCAGTAACTCTTTATAACAAGGAATTGAACATAGACGAATAAGTTCGAGGATACAACACCGGCCAATAATCTAATCCCAATAACTCTTCGTAACAAGGGAAGGGACATCGACAAGCGTGTACTTCAATCGAAACCTATAGATTATTTAGTTACGAAATCATCAACCTCATGTGAGCCTAAGTCTACGACTTCTCCCCTTTCGTTTCTAAAAGTCGCTTATTCAATTAGAAGGTGTTTAATCAACTAACCATTTAGAATCATCAAAGCCTTAATTCGACAAATTAACACTCAATTGTCACTAATGGCAAGATCGAAGTGTCACTCTTCGATTATATCAATCAATCGAACAAGAATTCAACAATTCCGAATTAAATCAACTCACACAAGAATGAACAAATCAAGCCCGACAAATACACGTTAAACAAGAACAATCATTCCTTATCTCTAGCAATCGAATTTAGCTACGTATAATGAATTCAACACAAAGCACCATATCAACACATATCATTAATCCCATAGATTAAACGACAATTAATGCTTACGATTAATATAGAAGCCAATGTCAAATCCAAAGTACAAGCAAACCCAAAACAAGAAAACAAACCTTGGAGTGTCACTCTCCAAGACCAATCCATGATAAAGATTCAAATGTTTAAGGGTGAAAAATTGATAAAGATGAGTTTTGAGGTGTTTTTTCGGTGTTGGGAACGATTCCAAATGAAAGGCCTTCGAAAAATCAAGCAAAAACCGAGATTTATAAAACTTGGTCGAGCAGGGGTTAGCGCCGCTAAGGTCTAGGCTGCGCCACTTCGCGTTTTGGGCTCGCTTGAGCTCGTTCGAACTCGAAATTGAGTGTCGCTTTTTCCTACACGTCGCTAACGAACCCCTCTATTCAATTGTACTCTTGAAACCAATTTATACTGAAGGTAAAATTCGCCGAAAGCTCCCGACCTACACACCAAAAACGACAAAATACAAAAAAGACCGAAAAAACAAACAAAAGACACCTATAGACTCAAAATGAACGAAACCACATAATAAAACACGAAAGAGACTAAAAACGAAAGAAACAACCTAAAACGGGGGAAAAGGAAAAGCAAAACGAGCACGAAAAATACAACAGAAATGGAAAAAACAACCCCCCACACTTAAACATTTGTTCGTCTCGAACAAAAATAAAAGAAAATGAAAAGACACGAAACTAAACACCAAGCATGGACAACAGTCATTAACAAAATAGCTTCAACATGTTCAACTTCATCAACGAGCATTCAAATGACACATACGAACATTACACAACTACATGCTTGATCTCTATTCTTCGACTTGGTGTTCTCTCAAGTATGAGAATATATATATGTGCCTCACTCGAATTCTTATACAGATAAAGATAGGTGCACTCAAATTGGTCGATAACAAGTACAATCATATGCTTGCCCATTGTCTACCTTCTAGTCTAAATCAATCAAAATCGAAGCTAGTGCATCAAAAGGTTTTTCCGGGTTGTAACGTAGGCTCTTTGGATAGGTAAGATAAATGTAGGCTAAGTGGCTCGAATTCATTACATAACTCAAACA